GCTCACACACACACGGTGCGTGGTACAGGCACTGTTCCCAGGGCACCGTGCACGTTAGTTCACTTTATCCTCACGACAGTCCCATGGGGCAGCTTAATTATCTTTTTTGCTTTGTCTTCTTTTAGAAGAGCACTGTGCAGCTGCATATTACTGCTCACACGCTTGGCTGCCTGGCCCACAGTGGGTCCCATGTCCCTAACTCCCTGCGGTCAGTCAGGGCCTCCAGACTGGTGGCCTCTGAAACATGAGAGTCCACGGCACTTTTCACTTGGGGCAGAAACCAAGAGCCAGAACGAGCTTTGCTGAGTTCTCTCTCCTTTGCCTCGATGACCTGCCAGCTTGTTACTATTTAAAATCAGGGGTGGGTGGTGGGGGAAGAAGGCTATTAAAAGCTGATTCAATGCTCTTTCCTTTCAGGTAAAACAATGATAAAGAACCAACAAGCAAAGCGTGCATTCTCTGCCTGCAACCATGGCGGAGGGAGGCTCCCTACTCAGACCCATTTCACATGATCAAACAGCTGACAGGAACCTGTGAGGTGAGTGAGACACGTCCTGCATGGGCCTCTGCATGCCAGGCCAGGCCCAGGCTGCTCAGAGGCTGGCCTGTCACAGCTGAAGGAGGGGGCACCCAAGGCCACAGGGCACTGGGGTGAGGATCCTCCAGTGGCACGAGAAGCAACCAGGCTCCAATGACTACAGTGTCCTCACTGCTCAGAGTTCATCCTGCATTGGCAATTTCCCACACCAAGCAGGGCCCCTCTCGCTCCAATTTAAAACGATCTTATCACCCCCCCACCCCCAGCCTACAGGATGAAGTCCAAGCACCACAGTCTGGCATGAAAAAGCCTCTCTCCAATCTTATCGCCCCGCTGCCCCGAACACTGGGGGGACACCATACACACCCCACAGGTCGCATCGTCAACCCTCCTGGCCTCCCCCCTCCTCATGCCTGCTCCCCGCTGCCCACGGGAGCTGCTTAGTCCCTCCGCTGACCTACCAGGGTGCCCTGCAATGGCCAGCCCCTGTGATGCTCTGTCACTCCACACACAGAGGCCCGATTCCCACCACCAAGCACCACGTGCGGCAATGGCGACACCAGGTGGGCTTGACGCATGCGCCCCCTGTGGAGCTAACCCCCAAAAGGAGAGACCAGCAGCAGCGACCGATAAACAACGAAACCATCCAAAGGGAAGGAAACGTGCAGAGTTGTGAGGGTCTAGGATGGGGGAGGAGACTGGGGGCTGTCTTCAGTGGAACACTCGGGGAGACATCACTGAGGAAGGGGCACCTGAGCCGAGAGCTGGGATGGGGACGGAAGGCCAAGCAAGGGCACGGGGCTGTGCAAAGGCACCGAGGTGGCGAGAGCTCAGAGCCCGAGCAGCAGCTGCGGGAGGGCCGGGAGGGCCGGGAGGGCCGGGAGGGCCAGGAGGGCCAGCGGGACAGGAGGAGGCCATTTTTGAGGCGGGGTCTGGGTTGTGCAGCCCCCCACGCCATGTCAGGGGTGAGAGTCTGCACCGTCACCTCCGTGACAGGGCGTGGACCAGTGTTAAGCCAGGACACTTCTCCTAACTCATCACTCTGTGACAACAGTTCCTAGTGTCTCTGCGCTGGGAGCTCACGTGGATGGTGCTCAGGAGGCCACCGCCACCACAGAGGAATCTGTCCTTGTGTCCAGACTAGGGCGTCCAGGGACCATTTGGGGGATACTTAATATTTTTCCAGCTTATCAAGATGGGGAGAAGAGATGACAGTTTAGACTTCAACCGTCCCTTCGAAGCTCATTTGGGGAAACCTCAAGAAGACCCACCTAGACCACTCGACATGCTCGTGGAACACGATCACTGAAGCTCTGGGCAATTCTGGGGCCGGAAGGGCCAACAGAGGAGGACCAGCCCCTGGCCACACCTGACAGGTGGCCTCGGATGCCGCGGTGCGAAGGTTCTTGTTGCTCCCCTGAGGAAACAGCTCAAGAGGCCAAGAGACCCCTGAGCCCTGGGACAGGGACCCTCCCACTGCCCCAGCCCCACTGGCCCATAGGGGCATAGCTCCTGAGGAACCTTTGCCCAGGTCTGTTCACTGACAACTGCATCTCGGGCAGAGCCCCGGTGGCACCAGACTGCTGACTCCACATGAACTTGGCACAGAAAAACAGGTGAGTCATCTCAACAGTTCTCTAAGCCAAGTCCTCGAGGCCAACATTAAAACATAATTTAAAAATTTCAAAAGCTTAGGGATGGTTTCTATGACAACCAGGTTTGGCGATCTGCAATAAGCCTCAGGTCCACACCCTCCAACTTGTCCACAAGAAGCGAGGAAAAAAAAAAAAAAAGTATAACCTTTCACCTCGAGAATTCCTCTCCATCCCTGGGCGTTGGAGGCTTAAATGTAGCACCTTGAGGGCAGAATGCTTTCGGGCTGTCAGGAACACCTCCAAACTCACCTGTCTCACCTCACACCCCATACCACTTTCTCGGAAACCTCTGGAGAAGGCCCTTTGAGCTGGGCCCCTCTGGGGCAAACCATCTTACAGCAAAACGTGGAAAGGCCAGCTTGGCTACCCGAGCCCTAGGCTCTGCTGCCCGCCTCTGAAACGGACCTCCCGCTACCGCTATCGACCCTGTGCCCCTCCTCCCACCTAAGCCAACGCCTTCCTGCTAATGTCTCAAAAATATTAAAACAGGAATCTGAAAACGACATGTGATCGAGGTCAAGGGTCGGTCTGTCTGATCTGGCTCTCTGTCCTATCTCACGAGAGCGGGGTGAGCTGTGAGCAGTGCCAGCACCACGCCTGGTGGCCGGAGGCCCACGTGCTGCTGAGCTGGCCTCGTCCCTGGCCGGCCCCCCCAGTGTCTCCCAGTTCTTCTCCACTTCTCCACGCCAGCCCCCGCCGGCCTCCTCACTTCCTGGGGCCTCTGGAAAGTGCAGCCTATCACCCTTTTCCCCAAAGGATTGTTCTCTCCACAAAGGAGGAAACATCCTGGCCTTATCAGATATCCGGCTTCATGCAGAAGAACAGACTGCAGTGAAAATTTATCCCAGAAATCCCGGGGCTGGGAGGTTACCCTGAGGTCACCTCAGTCGTCTGAGGGCTTGCTGGGCGTGTGTGCCCTGGGTGCGACAGACTCCAGGGACCCAGCCAAGACCTCACTCCCTGGGAAATGCACCCGATGCCTGAAACCCTTAAGCTGTACCATCCCATGTCCCCACACCCCCTCGCCTACGCCCCCGACATGCTCTCTCGCTAACCTTCTTTTCTATCAAGACCAGGAACACAGGGGACCTGATCCCCTCGACTGCCCAGCAATCACCTGCCCTGGGCTGTGGGCTGTGTGTCTGGTCCCAGGGGCAGTGGATGGGCAGCCCCCGAGAGTGACTGTTCCTCAGCTCCCAGAGGTGGGGGCTGGCTGGGGACTCTGGTCCTTTATCTCGGAGGATAGTAGCAGGAACATGAGCAATAGCGGTGGCTGGACCAGAAGGCCTCAGAGCAGGAGCAGCTGCAAGTGCTCAGCCAGCACGAGGCACTGTGATGTGCACGGACATGCTCCTCACTGCACCCTGCCTAGCTGCAGAGCAGCGACGATCAGCATCCCTCACGGACAGAAGAGGGGGCTGAGGCTTGGGGAGGTCGGGGGATCAAACGACATCCAACTCCTGCTGAGCACCCGCTGGGCCCCGAGGACTGTGGGAAGCACTTAGTGCGTCGCGTCACCCCTCCCTGACACTACGTGAAGTTTTCCTGAAATTAACACCATTTTATGATAACAAAACTGAGGCTCAGCGAGGTCACGGAGGAGCCCAAACACACTTTCCCCGTGGCCTCTGGCCCTCAGGAGACGCTCAGGCCACTGGCAAGGCAAAAGCCCTGGAGAGCACTACATGGGGACAGCGTACCAGCACGGCCACAGACAGGCCGCACTGCACGTGGGGCCACCTGCACACAGGAAGTGGGGATCTGTGGCAGAGTCAGCCAGGGAGCGGGCAAGACCCAGGAGAAGAGAGGGAGGCTGAGGTCAGAGACCCTGAACACAGGGGAGAAAGCAAATGCTGTCAGCAGGGGGGCCGCTGTGTGGCCTGAGAGTCCCCTTTGTCCTGATGAAGACGGGAGGTCAGCTCTCCGATTATCACGTGCTGAAAAGTGCTAGCTCAAACGCCCCTGCCCCGAGGGAGGCGCTCTATTTCAGTTGCGTTGTCACTGATAACACGACCTTGTTTTTCATGACCACCGAGCCACTTTACAGAGGAATGGATCACATGCTTGTCCAGCCCCAGTCAGCGGGGGCGAAAGCAGCACCTCCCAAGGTGGGGGGCAGGTCACGGTGGGGTCCGGTCCCAGGCTGCTGGGGACACGGGGTCGAGGAGTGGGAGACAGCCAAGAGGACGTGGTCTGTCCTCAGAGACGAGCACATGGGGTCCAGGTAATGAGCACAGAGCGGGTTCCCCACCGAGGCAGGACTCGGGGGCTAAATGCGGCTATTCCAGGTCAAAAGACCTCAAGGGCCCCTTTCTTCAAGTGTGGCCAGAGGGTCCACCCCTGTGCCAACTCAGAACCACTGGCTGTGGCTGAGGCTCTGGCTGTGACTGAGAGAGAGAGAGAGAGAGAGAGAGAGAGAGAGTGTGTGTGTGTGTGTGCACGCGCGCGTGTACACATGTGCTGAAGATGTGGAGGCCACATCTGGATCCGGCCGTGCTCTGATCAGTAAATCGACGCGCGTGTACACATGTGCTGAAGATGTGGAGGCCCCATCTGGATCCGGCCGTGCTCTGATCAGTAAATCGTGTCTACACAGGCAGAGGGAGGAGCAGGTGCGAACCATGGCCTGCCTCCATCTCACTTCACACCCAGCGGGACAGAGGCCCTGGCAGAGGAGGGCCTGACCACAAGCCCGTGTCCCGGCCGTGGCAGAGCACTTCCGTGGCCCACACAGTCAGACAGCGGCTTCAGCTGTAGAAACGCACAGAGCTGTGCCCAGGCCGTCCTTCCTCCCCACCCTCGCTCACCTGGAACCTGTGCACCAGCTCCAGGGACTGACTGTCGTTCTGGTCGGCTTCGAGGATGACATCGGTCAGTTTGTGGATAATGACATCCAGGGGGCCCTGCTCCTCAATTGGCCGGCTAAGGTTCAGCTGCAAGGAGACAGAACAAGAAGAACATCAACACCTGAGTCCACGGCCCCCCCTATCCCCACCTCCGCGTGGGCCTGGAGCACCGAGCCGGGGCAGAACTGGCACCGGAGGGAGGGAGACGGGACAAGTGGGACGAACCCGCCAAGATCCTAGAACTCCACCAGGTCAGGCCCCGCATGTGCATTTCTGTCCCCGAGCCCCATGCTACCTAGGGTACAGAAGACATGCACACGGAATCAAGGTGACAAAGACTCTACAAGTCAAGCGAGCATCACTGTGAAACTGCTTTACAGAAAAAGTAGTTACTGAACGCATCCCATCGGCCCAACAACCTAGATTTTGCAGGGAGAGAAAGCAGGACTGACTCAGGAATGAAGTCACGCCACTGAAGTCACACGGCCAGATCGGTACTGAGATCCAGGAAGACACCCCAAGAAACGACAGTCTCGGCAAAGTCATCATCTCCATGAACCTGAGAGCTGCTGCTTTCAGAGACTAGCGGCTCGCACTTCGCACTGAAAGCTGCTGTCATCCTGGAAGCGGGGAGCAGCGCGGGGCTGCCTGGGATCCGTGAGGCACTGCGCGCCCTGCTCCGCTGGCGACGTGTTTATTTTTTCAAGAGCACGGGGTTAGGAAGATGGGCCTCCCAGGGAGCCAGAGCTGACAGACAGTCGGCATCACCTGACCCCGAGGCAGGAGCACCTGCCAACAGCCGCAGCAGCACGACACCCTGCTTCCTGACCTGCCAGATGCCTGTCGCCCAGCGTGCGGCCGCCACCACCTGCGAGACTAGAATTTTTGGAGGCAGCGGGCGCCAGCCTGGCACCTGGCTGACCCCCTGGATGGCCTCAGTGGAGGCCAGATGAGGCCACCAGACCAACTTCTGCCCTCGGCTGCACCCCCAAGTGGGACTTCCTCTGGGAATCAAGGCTGACTGTTGCAGAGCCGTTAGTGAAGAAATAACACTGACAGCTTGGAATGATAGCTCTGGGAGGCACCGTGTTAAAAACTCGACATGCGTTTTTTTTTTTTTTCCATTTTTCCAACCACATGATGAGAAGCGATTTCACAGATGAGGCAGGTGGAGAACAGACTTCTGAAACCTGCCTCAGATCTCACGGCAAGAAGGCGGTGGGGCTGGGATGCACACCGAGGTCGGAAACTGCTTGTCATTCAGTGCCCACCCACCCCACCCTGGTGCTCACGCTATGCCCCGAGAAGCTGTCCTCTAGAGCCACAACCACCGGCTGCTTTGTGCTCTGGCTCCTCGCTGAGTCTGACCAATTGGAAGCACCAGCAGACGATGGGGGAGAAGAAGAGAAACCTGGGTGTTTGTTAACTGTCCTCACACCCCCGCAATGGTGCTGGCAGCGGCCCCATCCCCCGTCAGGCAGGGCCGCCCCTCTCCCGGACCACCGTGGTGTCTAGGGCTCCTGTACCACCCTCCCTCCCTTTGTCCCCTCAGGCCTGGGGCAGTGACAGCTCACCACGCCCAGGGTACCTCACCACCTCCTGGTGGCTGGCTCCTGTCACCTGCCCAGACCTTGTCATCCTCTCTTACTTAAACTCCTTTCAGTTAAACCTTCAGAACGGAGCGGCTCTTTCCTGCCGATATCCTTACCCCTCCCTTTTATTGTCTGCCAGGAAAGATGTTAAGCGATATCCCCTATTTAAAAAGAAAAATTCCATGGACCTCACAATAAGAAAATAATAAAAAAGACTCCGCTCCCCACGGTGACAAGCCTGTGTACAGAACAAAACGAAAAGCAGGCCAGCGGAGGCGCCAACCATCTTTGTGGGGCTCCTGGACGGGTAAGGGAAGCAGCGCTTGTCCTCACAGCAAGCCCAGGACCTGCAATGACGTTCCCACCTTCACAGACCAGGATACCAACAGCCCAGAAGGAAAAATGACCAGGCGAGGCCATGCAGCTGGGAAGTGGCCCAGCGAGGGCCTAGACAGAAACCGAACATCAACACCCATGGGCTCACCCCCAGCAGAGCTGCCAAGTGTCCTGAGCCTGTGCGAAAACCCAGCTCATCAGCCCCTGGGCCTCAGTTTCCCCTTTGATCGAAACAGGAAACGGCAAGGGCCTTTCTGGTTCTGTTTGCGCATTCGGTGTTACATTCCCATCCAACCCCACTTCCCAGAAAAAAAGCAGAACTTGAAGGAAAGTAGAGAAGCCAGTGGAAAATGGTAATACGGGCAAAGACAGCAAATTCTCAAAAGGTACCACAGACACAAACCCACTTTTGCTGTACCCCGTGGATCCACTGTGACAGGTACCACAAACAAGAGGCCAGTATTTTCAGATCGAGACAGCTACTGGTGGAAGAGAACCAGGTCACACGACTGATGCCGGACAGTGCATGCGAGGGCCACTTAGAAACTCCATCCCCATCGGCATGCACATCTCCAGAGAGAAACTCCAGGTCTCCTGTGGGGTCCCAGTGGGTCTGGGGAAGGAGGCGGCAGAGGAGATGTCCCTGGCTTGTCCTCGCCTGGCATCGGCGGAGGCCTGTAGACCTGACAACCATGGGCTGTTTGGAAAATAAACTCGCTGCGTTCCTGGCTGCTGCACTGAAGGTAAACAAACAGTTGAGTCCTGGAAGCCGGCCACCTTCCTTTGTGTATTTTCCAAGCATTTTTATGCCAATGTAACCCTTTCACGATAACAGCAACTTGGGACACACATCATGCCTGGTCTGGTCCCCACTCAGCCGTCTCCCGCTGCAGCATCCTGGATGAGGCCCGAAGCAGAGCTGTCGGTGTCTCTAAAAGACATTCCAGCAGCTTCTCAGGGGGCCAGACAAGCTTCCATCCCCCCTCCGATAACGCATCAAGGGGGCATCAGTCTCCCCAATGGCTGGGAAGGAGACAGGCTTCCCCGTCGGGTGGGGGCGGGGCCCTCGGCGTATAGGACACAGCAGAGGAGGGGACGCTCGGGGGTGGAGGGGTGCCTGAAAAGGAGACACACCTCAGAGACTTTGCTTGTTTCCCAGATGGGGTAGGGATAGGGGCTCAGGCAGACGTGAACTCACTTCAATTGTGTCATTTTGTTTTTCTGACCACACTCTGCCCCCAGAAAAAGGAACTTTCCCAGAGACCTGTTCTGTTCTGCGGGAGGAGCCTGACTGAGCTCCCTCAGGGTAACGAGGTATCTTGATGAAAGGCCGCCTGCTGTGGCCACAGGAGGCCTGCGGGCACCAGGCTTCCAGGTCACGCCATCCTGCAGGCCAATGCTGGACGCGGTCTGCACAGCGCTCAGAGTTCAGAAACTGGGGAAACAAGAGCCCAGTGTTCTCTCGGCGGCTAAGCGGCCAGGCTGACGGGAGGTGGGGGAGGGCTGGGGGGAGACGTCACAAAGGCCTGCAAACCCCAATGGCCCCAAAGTCACCTCTAACTTCGAAAGAGCGACCCAACTATGTCCAGCCCGGCAGGTTCTGACTCCCCGCCACTGGCTGCAGGGAGGATGGGCACCGCAGACACCTGGCAACCCAGCTGCTCCTGGGCCGGAGCAGGTCGCTTAAGTGCTCTGTGCCTCAGTTTCCCCATTCCTAAGAT